TATCGTTGTCCGCTTAACTTCAGATTGCCTGGCTCAGCAGGTTCAGCGGGCCACAAGCCATTAAAGAGTCTCTTAGGTAAGCAGAGACATGAAGGCTGCAGCGATGAACAGGGCATTGTACAGAATCGGAGACAGGAAAACAGCATTCTGACCCAGCGTACTTCATCCAGAGATACTCCCCCTTCTCTTCCCTCTATGTGAAATAAGGCTGCACTTTACACACAGGCTCTTTCTAATAGATTTTAGCAGGATACACAACTGAGCAACACAGCAGCTAATTAAGAAGAAAAATCTCAACTCTGTAAGTAATTATTTATAACAGCTGAAAGAACAAGCAAGACAGGAATGTTAGGGATGCAGCATGGAAACACATGCGTTAAATCATTGCAACCTAATTAGAAACAAACTACTAATGACCTAAAAAGATTCATTCTTAACTCTGACTGCAGCTTCTAGAAAGAAAAAGGCTTTTTCCTGTCACCATAAACCACAACTGCCTAATAGCTCAGACTCCCTCTGGTGTCCTTTTTTTCTGTACAATGCAATGTTTACTGTGAGTCAACAACAGACCTTCAGTACTAAACTGATGCTTTGCTGGAGACTCAATTAACGCTTCACAAAAGCTTCAGCTGGGTTTCTTTCTTTTTTTCTTTTTTTTTTTTTAATTAAAAAAAGAAGGCTGTTAGTACAGCTTCCTTGTTGTACAAAGAGTAAGAAAAGCCACCCAGGTAGTCATTCTACACCCATCCATTGTAGCTAAACGAGATGCCCATGCAAGGACTGAAGTACCAAAATAAGCTACAGCGGTACTCCATCTAGTGGCCTTGGCTTAGAAGGTCCTAATCTCATTGCCTTTTTTGGTTGGTGGTCCTGACTACAAGACTGTATTTCCATTTATTTTACTGTGGCACAGTAAAATAAAAGGCTTTCAGCAATGTTGTACCACAGCCAAATTATATTCATCTGTAAAAAAACAACAGAATGTGCCATGAGATTCTCTAGAAACTCAACAAAAACGATCTCAGGCAGAGTATCATCCTTACAATTAACTGTAGATAAACGTTGCTCTGACTTGCAGCACCCACTCCCCAAGCAAACAGTACCTAAACACGATTCTACACTCAGTTCCTGCTTCCCTAATGTTCTAGTATACAGTAGAGCATGTACTAACATACGTACCTTAAACATCATTTCAAAACTTAAACCTTAGCATCAGCCACTACACAGGAACTCTCCCAAACACCTCCTAAAACAGAAGTGTATGCAAAGTTGCAAATGAATAGCAAAGGCTCTGCACGCAAGTATTGATATATTTCAAGCGTGGGCCACAAGACAGATAAATCTAAGGACACTTTGGTTTTTGCTAACTCTGTTCAAACACTTTGTATTGTAAGCAATACAGACTTGGCAAGTATCACTACTGGGGGGGGGAGGGGGAAGACAGCAATATGTAAAGTGAAAGCAGGTAAAAAACCAAACCCTTAAGTACCTTTTGAATAAAATGAAACCTTGGAACCAAAACTAATCTAACACCAAACTTGTACCTGCATAGATCACAAGCAATTTTTGTCTGGTTAACTACGGCATTTTAAACAGGGGACAAAAAGAAATTTTTGGTTTAAAAAAACCAAACACACACAAAAAAGCTGTTTAAAAAAAAAAACCACCACCACACACCAGGATCTACAGATTATCTTCATTTGTAAAAAATGAACAGCAGGTGCAACAGCTGACTGCTACGATGAGCTGACATAGTGAAAGACTTCCCTTTGCGGTTCTGAAATGTGCAGAAAAAGCTGAAACCACACCCAAAGGAATGTTAAACTTGCAGGGATTTGCTCCTTCCCATTACATGGGGAGAAATTTTGCTTCTCAATACAGCAAAAAGTGATGGGAGGCAATAAAAAAAAGTCTCCTACCATACATTCCACTCATTTTTCCTTTTTTACAAAGCCATTGTGTAAGAACTTATTAAGGGAAGCCAGGTTCAAAACAAGAATGCATTAACATTGCTTTCTGACATAAACGCAAGCTGGATCCATCAGTAAGACTACATCAGACAACCGGGTTTATTTTCATTTAAAAAAAATAGGTGACTAGTACACTGCCCAAGCTCATCACCAGTGATCTTGAAATTAAATTTGTATCACTTCCCACTCTGCATATAGGACTCTTGCTCACGGAAACAAAACCTGTGCACTGATCCCTCCCAAGACTATATTCCAAGTCTGGAACAGAAGTGAGGAAAGCCTACAGCATCTTTCACCTGCTGGAAAAGGGTAGATTTTAATCTGTTCAATTTAGGGGGGGAAAAAAACCCCAAACATCAGTGGGATAAGATCTATATAAGTCCAGTGTGAATTTTTAAACACTTCAATCCTGGTAAAGGGAAAGCAGTTGTACCACTTCACATCACAGAATAAGAAATACTGCTTACATGAGAACTTTACCTCATACCTTCGGTACAACGCAAGTTAGACTACTTGAGACAGCATCATTCATGGATTCTGTTCTCTTTCAGTAGAAAAGTGTCAAGCAATGCAGAAAGTTCTTAAAAATTAGGAGAACTCCCTGTTGGGGTCTACTGCGACAACTTAAGCTCTGGAAATTTGCACACAGCATGATGTATTACAATTATAGTCAGTACAAGAGCTCCAGATTTCTTAGCTATTAAAAAACCACCAAGAAAACACACACACATTTCTGACCTAAAATGTCTCAGCAATCAGGCTAAAAGGAATGAGTCGTTCACCTAACCTGGGGTACCAAATCAAGCATCTGGGAAAGCTACCTCCTTCTCAGTTGGTATCTTGCCTTCTATTATAATCATCCAAATGATTATAGTCTCTGCAGCTCGCACCCTCCTGGCTCGGGCATTCTGACACAGACCACTACCGCAGGAGTTCTGTGGAGTCAAAGGAACAGCAGCAGCAAGCTCGTGCTGCTACTGCCTTTCAGCTGTCATCTAATGATCACACAGGGAAAATACAGTAAAACAAATTCATAGGTCACAAGTCTTACTCACTTTTTTCTTTCTTCTCTCCATCTAGCGATCTCTTCTGGACTATCTAATTTTATTCTTTTAGCACCAGGTGCATGTGCCTAAGGAAAAAGTATTTCATAGGTGTTTACAAGGGGAAGGCAAAAACCCACAGGAAAAAAAAAGCATCATTCTGCCAACTATAGTAGTATCACACTGTTTTCATCTCCAAAAGTGGCGAGACTGCACACAGTGATTACAAAATGAATCTGTTAAAAAAACCCCACCATAGTATTCAACATATTTTCATCCACAACATTGTCTTACAACAGATTCTACTCAGAGGTGATACGTTTGCCTTCCACAAGAATGAAAGCAAGCCTCTGAAGAATGAGAAAAGGGACTACAGTAAAGGTCGCATAGACTCATATTTTGGGCCCAGGGGGATACCTACATTCTTCCAGTGTATCTGAACTATCTTCTCATGTGCGCTGAAATTGCAACCTTCTTCCGTGCACTGCAAGATAAGGGGGTGAACTTAAGACACACCAAGTTACACAAACAAATTACAAACAAGCATTTGAGTACACTTCAAACAAACTCAGCGTAAGATGCCTGTGCAGTTAGTTATACAGAACTTTTGAGCTACTCAGTTTCAAAACAAACCTGATTGTAAAAACAGTAAGAAAGGAGAGCGTACTTCTAAATTTCATCTGATTTTAGAATAACCAGTGAAGCCAACGTACCTGATAATTGGAGATAACGTGAAGTTAACCTAAGAGAAAGATTTGCAAGACTCTCCAATTTCAAATTTTGATATTTCTTTGCAGTAAAGGAGTGGATTTTTAAAATATGTTTTCTACATAAAGCCTTGTTAGACGAAAAATGTTACCTGCTACACTGATGTCAGTGAATTAATTCCTACCACTGGGGTGACTTAGCAGTACTTCACAAGACATTAAAATGACTTCAGCAATAAAACCAAAAATACAACTGAGAGCTCCCCTACACACAGCATTCAGAAAAAATCCCCTACTGACACTTTTTGTCACTCTGGAATCTCTTTGCTAAGTCTTCCATTCAAAGAGTGACTATAGCTAACTACTTACCATGCACAAAGTTAAAAACTAAAGTATAAATAAAACAAGCCAAACTCATCAACCTGTTTATGTTGTGAAATATGTTCATCATACTTCTCCTGGTTTTTATAGCCACGGTCACAGGTATCACAGTAATGAGAGAAAACTGGCTCTTTTTTCTTTTTGGTCTGCAAAAAAAAGAAGAAATCATCTCAAGATTGCAGTTACAAGATTATAAGGTATTCCTGTTTTTAAGTAGGTGTGAAACACTTTCATGAATGTTTTTGTTAATAAAGCCATCAAGTAAAACATCTTTCAAAGATAAGCTAACATAACATGAAAGCGAAGTTCAAATCACTCATCTTCCAAAAAAAGCACCCTGCACTCAGCTCTCTCCCCTACCACCTTTCCATCAATTATCACTTCTGCAAACATACCAGGCTGGCACAGGTTTATCGAGGGCTGGGAGGAGAGCTAGGCTACAGCCCTGAGTCTCCTCCCTATCAAGTCAGACCATGCCTGTTCTCACGTGACACGCAAGAGCTCGGAGGGCAGCAGAGATCCTTCCTTCTCCCACTACACACATCAGGGCGATCTGGCTGTCTGGCCCTGATAACATAACAGAGCGCTGATGTAATTTAGGCACTCGGGCATCACCACGGTAAGGGCTTTTCTAAAGTAAATCTGCGTTAGAATCTTTCTTTCAATGGGCTCAAGAGTTGCAGACTGACTGTCATACGTTTGCATTACATCTCTTGGAAGGGCAGGCACATTGACAAGAGTACGGGGTCTCTGTAGTACCATGGGGCAGGTTCCACATGACTGTCACTGACACAATCACAGAATGGTTTGGGTTGGAAGGGTCCTCTAAAGGTCATCTAGTCCAACCCCCCTGCCGTGGGCAGGGACATCTTCAACTAGATCAGGTTGCTCAGAGCCCCGGCCAACCTGACCTTGAAGGTTTCCAGGGATGGGGCATCCACCACCTCTCTGGGCAACCTGTGCCAGTGTCTCACCACCCTCAACGTAAAAAATTTCCTCCTTACATCTAGTCTAAATCTACCCTCTTTTAATTTAAAGCCATTCCCCCTTGTCCTGTCGCAACAGGCCCTGCTAAAAAGTTTGCCGCCATCTTTCTTATAAGCCCCCTTTCAGTACTGATAGGCTGCAACAAGGTCTCCCCGAAGCCTTCTCTTCTCCAGGCTGAACAAACCCAACTCTCTCAGCCTTTCTTCATAGGAGAGGTGTTCCATTCCTCTGACCATTTTTGTGTCCCTCCTCTGGACCCGCTTCAACAAGTCCATGTCTTTCTCATGCTGGGGACTCCAGTCCATACCTTTGGCTTGTTATTTTCTTCTGGAAAATGTTTACTAAATCCAGGCGCTTGCTCGCCTTGCCATTTCTGTGAGAAATTGCCATTTCCACCTTCAAAAGGAAAAAAAAAAAGATGCCGTTATACATGCAGCTAGTAAAACACACCCCCTGCTACCTCGGTGGGCCCACTGTGGCGGGGAAGGGCCTGGGGGAGAGACGAGCCAGGGCTGCACGACCAGCACCGACAGCGGGGCACATGCCTGGAGGGAGGGGGAGTCCACCGCCGCCCAAGGGTCAGGGACAGCCCCAGGGTCCCCGCCGGCGAGGGACGGGAAGGAGCCCGCGGGGCCCGAGAGACGACCTCCCCCCCGCCCCCCC